TAGGAACTCACCCGAACGTGAGAATTCTATCGTGTCCTAAACGACACGATCGTGATCGGCCCTTCAAGCAACTCGCACAGGTCACTGAGGATCGGGATCGGGCGCTTGTCGATCGTGACACGGCCCTCCAAAACCGATACCAGGCGATCGCGGAGCGCGATCAGGCTCGCTTGAACCTCTACCCCGAGGCTGCCCGTGCCGCCCAACTGGACGATGATCTTGAGGTGGTTCGCCTGGAATTTCAGGGATGGGAGGGTAGGATGGCGGATCTCCAGCTTGCTCACGACCAACTCGGCGAGTTGCGAGATCTCGCCGAAAGTGATATGAATGAGGCCGATGTGCTCCTCACGCATCTTGCCAGCCGGATACGAGAGAGTCAAGCGGTTTGGATGCCGAAGCGTGAGCGAAGTCTGCCCAGTTATCCTACCCAACTACCGCCTCTCGAGACGCCCCGCAGCGGTCGGCCTATTTCTCCACCGCCCGACCAAGATCAGCCCGAGATCGAAGGCCCGGAGGGCAAAGAACTCGAAGATAAGCCCGAGATCCCAAGCGGAGGTGGAGGAGGTCCGGGTGATGACGACTCCTCTCCTTCCGATGATGGTCCCTCGACGCCTCCTCCCACGCCTCCCGGCGGAAGTCCAGGTGGTGGTTCCCCTGGTGGTGGCTCGCCTCTCCAACTGAATCCGCCGTTATTTCCTGCCGAGGCGAGTATTCCTGGATATTCCACGGTCAAGATCTTCACTGCAGCCTTGATCGCCCCGTGGGATCCAGCCATCGTGGGAACCGTGCCGATCATCGTCATGATCCAAGCTACTTTGACCAAAAGGGTGGCGACCCCGCACGGCTTCCTGTTCCCTGTTCGGACGCCCTTTGTCCGGGCACCCATACCCGTGACCGGTTACCGTTCGGAGCTAATCACTGGTGCCAACGTTTTGGCTCTCATGGCTACTGCGCCGTGGCGCTTGCTTGGACAACGTCGCCCCACTCCGCTGACTTTCGATCACAATCTGCACCGGCGAGCTGACACCCTTTTATGGCGGATCGCCGTATCGTATGCTGCCCTGGAGGAGGATCACCTGATCGCGTATTGGGAATCGACCCATTACCTCGAGATCACGAAAACGATGGTCGCCGCGGACCCTGATCTCTTCACCTACCACCAGGATCGACGTCAGCGACGCATCCGCTCTGGATAAAGTTGGCGGAAATTGTTGGAAGAGTGCCTCCTGATGATGCGGGGCCAGTGGGCCGATATCGACTTCCTGCAGGATCCCTATTTCCTCCACCTGCCGACAACCCGAGATTGGGTACGTTGGTATCCTGGATCGGTCTGCCGCGTGGCCAATCTTGATCAAAAGCCGACGGCGAATCTCCCTGAGCCAACCGACCTGATCACAGCCCTGTTCGAGTGTGATCAGACGGATCCTTGGAGAAATCATTATCGCGATCCCGGTTCCGCTGACCCGTCGCTGCAGATCCCTCGAGTCGTGAACAAGTTTAACCCTCCAGTGGCTCCTTGATCGTCGATCTAGCTTCAACTCGACGACAACTTCCATAGTCTCCCCTTTTCTACCCGTGATCGCGCTCCTTGCCGATCTCGTAATTTTCTAATTTCAGCCACATCTTCTGCTTGTTTGCTCCTTTGTCGCTCTTCCTAAGTGATCTCTCTTCCGACTCATCATGTCTTCCGCGATCTCTTTATAGGGCTTCCATATGCACATATACAACATGAACTCCTGATCTCGGTCTTATCTGACCGGCGTTCTCTCGGGGTCGAGGCGATCAGATAACCTCACCCCGTCCTCCTTACATCTCCTCATGTGGTTGCATCACATTGAAGCGGTTTCGATTAGCTCGTTCTCGCAGGAAGGCGCTCAATATTGCCTCGCAGTTGGGATCGGCTTCGTCGACCCAGGTCGGCTCGTCATATCCTGCCCAATGCACCCGGAATTCTCGGTAGATCCGGCCAAATCACGTTTTCTTCCGACTCCGCACATCCCAGATCCGCTCGACTTCGTACTCATCGTTCCCGAGACCTGGACCCAGCTGTCCTACCGTGAGTTCTACTCGCAGCCGATCCGGAAAATCCTTGACCAATTTTAGCTTCGATACGTGAACTACCGGGAAGATCTGGTACCCGGTACGTGTGATCTCAAGCTTGACGCTGAATTCGTTGATCTTTTCGGCTACTCGGAATGGCCCATGCCATAGGTGAGCCAATTGCCGCGCGTATCCTTCCTTCACCCGATCTAGGTATAACCAGATACGAGATCCGGCCTCGATATGGTGCGATCCGACGTCCTCGTTGTGTCGGCCGGCCCGATCGGCAATGGCTTCCTTCAATCTAGCGTTGACTTGCTCTCGGGACTGCTGATAATATCGCTGAACCCGATAACGCCACCGCCGCGCGTCTCGATCGCGCCGTCTGGTACATCCGACTGGCAATGTAGCATCCAGCGTCAATCTCGGATCCCTCCCATGCACTGAATAGTGAGGGGTATCGTGAGCCGTGTTGATCGCGAAGGTAAGTCGCTCGGCATACCCATCCCAACCCTTCTGATCAAGGTCGCGAACGTACGTTTTGAGCGCCCTGGTCGCGGTCTGCACCATTCTTTCAGCGGTTCCGTTGGCTTGTGGCCGATATTCCATCGTCACTCGCTGCCGTTGTCCCAGGATCTAGTTAAACGCCCGGAAGAAGTCGGACATGAATCCGGGTTCTCGATCATGCCGGATCATCTCGCTGGCCCGAATCGCCGAAACACGCACTCCTCGTACGATTCCGGGACTGACTGGACCGACCGGGGCGAGCTAGCTTTCGCGATCACGTATCCTGTGAACAGATCGACCCAGATCAATAACTCCGTGTTCTCTTTGTGGGATATGGGAAGCGACGGTATGTGATCCATCGCAATAATCTGGAACGGGTATGTCGCCTGCAAGTTCCCTGGTGATTCACCCCGGATCACAGGTTTTCCTTTTCCCGTGTCACAGTCCACGAATTCCCCCACGTATCGCTGAACGCTCCGATAAAATCCTCTCCAGTGGGGGTGATCCCTGATACGCTGATAGGTACGCCCCACTCCTTGATGTCCCCCTTCCAGCGGTTTGATAGAGATGTAAGACGTCCGATTGTAGCGTTTCGTGAACTACCAATCCCAACAACCGATCGCGATCATCCCCCGATCTCGGCGTGGGAGGGCAGTAGAAGAGTAGATCCTGTTCGTCCACCTCATAGTCGGCAGCGATATTGCCATACGATCTTGCTTCGGCTTGCGTGAGATCTGCGATCGAGCCACTCAGATACTTCTTCATGCCTTCGATCCAGACTTCCTCCTCCCACTGAAAGTCCCGCTTGCGGTGCTCTCCTCGGCTTGTTATATATATATACAAGCCCTCTACGTCGAGATACTGTATTACCGGCTACTGCTAATAGCCCCACATAGCCTCCTTATAAGCCAAAATGTAGTATCAACTTCTACTGGACTGCCTTGGCAACAATGCTGGTATTTACATAATTTTGCGGGTATGGGTAGTAAGACCGATACTTCCTCTTTTCCATAACGGCTAAGAATTGTGTTGTCCTGCACCGTCCATGCTGACATTATAACAGCTTCAAATGTGTCACTAAACATACCTGTTTTCGGCTTTATCCTAGCTTGTAGGACAAAACTATCTGTGGGCCTGCTTGATCCGATCGACCCGCATCTCCCGGATCAAGTCCTCTTGCATGACACCCGCCGGTGATATTACTCGAGCAGCTCGGGTGGTAACCGCTGCCACTCGCATCACTGGGTTCTCGGTCCTGGGAATCAAGATTTCGTCTAACCGGTTCAGAGTGACCAGATCCTGATACCCGGGCCCTCTCTGGACCTCGGTTCCGCCTTGTCGTTGTAAAGCGGAACTCGCCAGACTGTCGGCACTCCCATTCCAGTCTCTCCTCGCATGAACTAGTTCATGATCACTTCATTTCCTCAGGCGACCAAAAGCCTTCCGCATCAATAGCGTCAGTCCGGGTGCTTTGCAGTCGATCTCGCCCCGTACTTGTTCGGATCACCAAGTTGGAATCACCGCAGATCACTAGGCGTCTGCGATCTAGGTCCTCTAGCATGTCGAGTCCCAAAATCAAGCCGTTATATTCTGCTTCTTTCACGGTGAGGCTCTCGAGATAGCCCGATCTAGCTTTGACCACCTCCCATCCGGGCAGACTCCACACGATCGCGCTGAACGCGCTTCCGCCACGCTTAACTCGAGCGGATCCGTCAAAACTGACCACCCATAATTCCTCGACACGATCTACGGTGGGTATCGGCGCTTGGATCCGGCGTTTTGGTTCCTTCCGGGGAGCGATTTCGGTCAGAGCGTCGTGCATCTTCGCCCTCAACGTGCCAGTATTTCGTCCTCGCCCTTCGTACACTTCGTCATTTCGAGCGTCCACGGGGCCAGGAGGGCAGACCATTGTCCTAGACGACTTTGTAATCCCGTCGACTTGAACAGCCTGGCCAACGTGGAATACCTCGTTAGGACCCGGATCTCGCGTCCTACTAGCAAATTATAATAGATATCCAAGATCCTCAGCAATACCAGCACCTCCTTTTCAGTCACATTGTAATTCAACTCGTTCGTCTTCAAAGTGGGATTGGCTAACGCAACCGGATGGTAGATCCCGTCGTGTTTTTGCGTCAACGAAGCGGATATCGCCCAATCACTGACATATACAATAACTACCGGCGTTTTCGTCTCGTCGAAGTGTCGGAGAATTGGAATTGTTGCGATCTTGGTTTTCAGGGTGATGAAGGCATTATGCGCCCTGATCCACCTCTCATCTAGTGGTTCCGCCAGCTGAAGGCCGTGATCCCGTGCAATCGGGTCGTTCTGGTCCATGATCCTCCTCAGAACCGATCGTTTCTCCGGTTCAACAAACTCCACTTCGCGCAATTCGTAGAGTACCGAAACGTAGATAGCGTAGTCTTCAATGAATCGGCTGTAGTAATTCAAACTACCCAGGAACGACTGCATAGATCGAAGTGATCCGGGGAATGATAGGTCGGTCAGGGATTTCAGATTATTTGGATTCGCCTCGAGACCTCCGATCGACACTCGGTGTCCCAGATATCCTACCTTATCCATGCCCCAGAAACTATTCGCCACACTGATCGATAAGTTCCACTTATCGCAATCATCCAACAGATCTTCCACCCTTTGGCACATTTGATCCCACGATTCCGCTGCGATCATGATGTCGTCAATGTATGATCTCCGTACCAACACTGACTCGCGATCAGGATCATCCGCGACCCCTGCCTGGAATACATCCGTTGTGGCCCCGGCGTCGTTAGATCGCGAGATCTTCAAAAATCCATACAGCGCGTTGTCTACGAGGCGTTGATAAATCTGCGGGGCATTCTTTAGGCCAAAAGGCATGCGACTTCATTCGAATAATCCAAACGGGGTGATAAATGCTGAGATCTCGCGAGCCCGATCTGTCATGGGCACGACCCAGAAGCCACTGGCCATATCCAGTGAACAGTACCATAGTGCTTTATCAAGATCCTCTAGCAGATCGCTGACCAGGGCATAGGGTAGACCATCAACCTCGTGAGGCTGTTTACCAGCTTGTAATCGATGCACAACCTGATATCTACGCCGTTACTCTTGCGGACAATCACGATCGGTGAGGCCCATGGCGATGTCGAGGGTCGGATGATCTCGGCTGCCAGGAGGCCCTTGATCAGGCCTGCGACTTTTTCTCGAAATCGCGTGGGTACTTTCCGGGTTCGCAGCGCGATCGGTCTCGCATTCCCAACATCGAATACGCATACAACGCCCCTAGCTACCGGAGGTAGGGCGTTCCTTTTGTCGATCAGGAGGTGTTGCTTCTTCCAAATGATCGGTCGGAGCTTCTCGATCTCCTCGGGTGTGGTCGATCCGGAATCTCCCACATGCAGATCGTCGATGCTGACCTTCGCGGTCGTCGAGATCGGGATTTCGGGGAGAACAGCAAGGTTTCCCTCCAGATCTTCAGCTGAGAGATCGCCACTCTCATGGTAATATATCTCCTCGTCGTCCTCGGCATCCTGTGGGGCGGTCGCTGTTGCTCCTTCCGCCAGCGGATCCCGTGGTTCGACGCCCTCGGGCGGGTGGATCGGGAATTTGACATCGAAGGCTTCGTCGGGATCGAGTTTGATCTGGGTCTGACAATCGGATTTTCCGTTTTCGGTTCGATATCCTTTGTGCCAGTCCGATTGGTAGCCTGGTCCCGCATGCTCTCACTTATCTCGCCGCCCTCAGCATCGTCACTCAGGTATCGATCGACATCGGGGCTAGTCGTTGGCGTAGATGGACGTCCCCCTTCTGGATCGGGAAATTCTGCCTCGATCTGGACTGCGTCGGCAATTCCCGCCCTCGGTCGAGATTCTAGGGTCGATATCAACGTTCGATCTCGGTCCATATCAGCGGATTCTGCCCAACCAAGTATCGATCGTGGTGTGGGATACAATGTCCGTTGTACTGCAGGCTCCGCCATGTCCTCTATGGGTTCTGGAGGCTCCGATCTAGTATCCACCGTCGATTCCAATGCCAGATTCTGCCATTCCCGATAGCGACGTGATCCGACCGACACGAACCCTGGGGATCGGGCACTTTGTCCTGATCCAGTATCATACCAATGTCCAGACGGTGGACCAGCCGTAGGATCTCTTCTCCAATGTTCGAGATCACCAGGTAGCGGATCCGACCGGGGCCTTCCGTCACAGTCGGTACCCATCGTTCTCCTCTGGTCACCCACAGTTTCTCAGTGGCCGACCATTTTATCCTCGCCGCTGATTCTTCCGACCGACCAACCGGGATTCGTAGAGATCGTTTGAGAATCACTGGTCTCACCTTTTCGCCATACAATCACATACGATCATTAAGCGGTATTCCAACCTCGTCAGGTAATCACATCTATCCGTCGGCGAAGTCCATTCGTACACCGGCTGGGACCATGAAATCCATGCCCATGATCGTGTTCTGTCCTGAGAGATCTCCGATCTAGATGTCGAAAAAATACACCAGATATCCCGCTAAAGTGATCTTGATCTTGGTTCTCCCTTCCGTAGTATATGCGTTGTCACCGATTCCTACACATTCCTGTCTCTGACTAGTGTCAAAATCGCATCCCACCTTACGAGCAAAGGTGGTATCCAAGATTGATACCCCAGCGCCAGTATCTAGGAGCAGGGTTGCCCTCTCTTGATTGATCCTGCCCGAGATCTTGGCTTGTCGGAACCATTTTCCCGGGGAATGACGTTTCCAATATCCCCGGGACTCTCCTCTTTTGAGATCTAAGACCACTTCCGTATTAGATCTGCTGAATTCGCTGATCTGAGGGAGGCTCGCGATCTTGGCGGTGTACGAATGCAAGTTACATGTATTACCGCGTAGATCCGACTCCTCCCTACCTCGATCTGTCGTCGCCTTCTTCACGTAGGCGTAGATGCAATATCTAGAACGCTCGGCTCGTACCCGTGTGACGAAGTGAGTGAACACTTGACCGCCCAAAGGTGTATAGTGTGCCCTGAACGGATTCGAACAAGAAGTCGTTCAGGTAGTACAAGACTCGGGCTGAAAACTTGTTCCAGTCTGGGTTGGCGTGTGCCTTGCGTCAATCCCTATAGGTTCGATTAATTCGAAAACCAGGGATAACACCGTAGCAGTGACTTCCGAATAGGATATACAGAAATATATAACTTCCGGGACCTCCTCGTCCTAGTCGTCCTGATGTGTAAGTTGAGAGATCACGGGTAAAGACATTCCTCCAAAAGTTAACCTAAAACAATACAAATGACCTAGATGATATACACAGAGTTTGTTATGCAAATATACAGCCTGTCAGCTAGTTTAGATTTCGGGATGACCTTCGCACACCTCTCCTGTACTAATACAGGAGAATTAATATAAATACCTTCCATTCACACAGCAATCAGCAATATAGATCCAGGGGGAGATCGCTATAATCCTCCTAAATTGCAGGGTAATATGAAATGCAACTGGACACGTGAGAGTCCCCAGAGGCAACTTGGCAAATGAGATAATTGGATCAGCCCAGGTGTTCAAGCACACCGGTCCCCGAGTTAATTTAACTTGAACGAGGTTGAGAGTCTTCACGCGTCCCACGTGGCCGTAGTCAGCCCTTGGTGTGGTTGGTCCTTGAGGCCTTGACCCCTTAGGTTGTCTCCCACAGGTCTTCTCCGACGAGGTGCCCCTGGTAACACGGTTTCTGCGAACCACTTGCGCACTAGATGACAAAACAAACTCTCATTAAATTTTTACTATCAATCATCTTCATCTTAGGCTTATTCTTCATGTTCTTCAGATTCTTGCAGTATCTCGATCTCTGGGGTTCGAATTCTTCGGTCTCCATTACCTCGTGACTGTACACCGCCTGGATGACTTGGTCTTTGTATGCTTGGGTTGTCACATCATCGACCAGCTTGGGCACACACATCACATGTTGACACATGGCCCATCTTGATTTGGCAGCATCCGCCGACTCTTCACACGGGTCTCATCCAGTATGGTTTTCAGGTAGTCTGACGTCGGTGCAACTCGATCTTTGCCTGCACTGGCGTATGGCGCGTCTTGTACCTTGGACCACCGCGTCATCAGTTGAATCATCCGGCGTGACATTCGGGCTGTATTCCATTCGGGTTGTAAGTGATGTCTCCATTGGGGACACACTCCCTCAATTCAGGATGTTCAGCCAGGGACCCTGGGGCGCCATATTGCCTCAAACGTAAGTCCCTCAATCTCTACTGATCCACCCGAAAGTATCGGTCATCCCGAGACACACTCCAACAATTCAGGACGTCCAGCGGCCAGGGACCCCGGGGCGCCATATTGCCTCAAACGTAAGTCTCTCAATCTCTACCCTGTCCGTCCGAAAGTATCGGTCATCTTTTCGGGCTCCTCCACGCTTCGCCTTCCTGGAACAACGGTGTTCGGTCACTCGGCTCGGGTGACCGGAAACTGGGATTTACGTTCACGGAGCATCCTCCGTCTTCACCATCCAAAAAGAATGTCATCACGTTCCATATTCCAAGTTCCGGCTCTCGAATCAGGGCAGCTGCGGAGACCACCTGAATTTCAGGTTGCATCGTCACACCAGATTCCACCCCGGCGAGCGTCCTAGTTTAAAATCTTCTCGACTTGTTCGGGGAACAGCCTGGTGTGTTGAGTCGGATCGTACCATTTCCGGATCTGAGTGTGGAATTCCTCCATGGGGCATTCTCCTGCCTCGTGGACGCCCCCGCACCCACGACACGCATACAGACAGCGATCCGTAGGGTGACCTCGCTTCCCACACATGTCAAATATCAGACGCTTCCAACAATCCAGATCCGTGTATTTCCTCGACCCACAATGGAAACAGCGCTCTCGATCTTAGTGATCCCTGTCTCACTGACTGTGACGATCGGGGATCCGGCCTCCCTCGGGCGCCTTCGCTCGGGATCGCGCGGGATCCTGTTTCTGCACGGTGCCCCCCGCGCTGATCAACTTTTCTTCCGCCGCGGCGAGGAAAATACGTCTCAGTTTACTTTCCGAGTCGGATCCGTCAGATCCTGAGACGCCTTCTGACTCGGAGCTCAAATCCTGCGCTTGGATCGCGCGTACCATGGCACGAGTTGGCGCAGCCGGAGCGCTGACCGGGGCTTTCTGTCGAAATTTCGACCCGAACGCGGATCTGCGTTGCCTGCTCTTGGTTCGTTCACGCGCACGGAGAACTTCTTCGAGTTCGTCGACGTCAGCCAATAGTAATAGTGTTAGGCGGTCTGTCAATTTGGGTTTTCCCAACGTCCCGATGTAATGATCGACGTGTTCCCGGTGCGCCTTGCGACTTCCGTCCTTGATCTTGAGTTTGGCTCTTAGAGCGGCCATGTTCAGTTGATAGAGATAATCCAGCGGGGTCTCCTCGGATCTCTTCCGAGCATAGTAATACTGCCATGCCATTGACATACCTAGACCGCACTATTGGGTCTGGAAACTTACCGGTAAATCCGCCCATTTGGTCTTGGTAGGCCGACTTAACTGTCGGTGCCAGTTCTTGGCTGGTCCCACCATCAGATCCGCGAACGTGAGGCATTTCTCCTCTTATGTTGCTTGATCTCGCTGGAACGCCGATTTCACCTTGCTGACCCAAGTCCTGACGCGATCTTCGTCCATATCCTTCCGGTAAACTCTTTCAGATCCGAGATGGCCGAAATTCGCACCCTCTGGATCAGCGATGACCCTCCAGAGCCGATCGATGCCGAGGCAACTGCGGCTCCGCCGGAAGTAGCTTGGAACCCCGAGATCTTCGTGATTGTACTCCCAAGAGTGGGAATCCGGGGTGCCGACTGACTCCATGTCGATATCCTGCGTCCCGAGGGGTGGAGGTCGCACCGTCACCAGACTTTGTTCTTTCAGGAATCGATTAATCGCCATCTGGAAATATTCATCCAGCCTGTTGCTAGATCCGGTCGAATTGGTCGTCGGAGTGGCTCCCCCCCTTTGGGAGCTGGCGTTATTCCTGCCGATCGGGCTTCTCCGGGGTTCGGATTGGTCTTGCCGGCCGTTGATCCGGCCTGTTCACGCGTAATCTCAGATATTTGGCGCCCGAGGGTCCTAGCGACATACGTTACGGGAATCGGGGAGAATTTGAATCTGGTTCCGAGGTGGCCGACGCGTAGTGTGACGACCCGGTCTGATAGTTCAGATCCGGTGTTTGGACGTGTTCGCCCACCAAGATCTTGAGCGATTCGTATAGATCATGAGTCGCCGCCTGGATCGCCCCCAGTTCTATCTCGAACAGGGAATCCGGATTGAATTCCCCCGCTACTAGTCCGGCTCCCTGAAAAAGATCTAGCAGGATCTTCACTGCATTCGGCCTATCGGTGCTGGTGTTGGCTTGAATATCGGGCCTGTCAGATCGCCGATATGCCGGACTTGTATGATCGCGAGGGCATGGTCATGTAGCGGTGGCTCGCTCAGGATCTTCCGATAGTAAGCCTGCTCGATCATGTCTTTGGCGATAGTCGATCTCGGCTTATGCACGTCTTCCGATTCCAAATCTGGTGCCTTTAGCTTCGTCCGAGCGGCCTTGATCTTCTTTTTCTTGGACGATCTTGCCGAGGCTGCCGACTTGGTGGAGAGATTGGACTTTGACTTAGTCGTGTCCTTGTCCGATGTGTACGGATCTAGGTTCTCATCGAGATCCGCGGTGACCGCCGCGGCGGCCTTGAGAGGAATCCGAGGCTTTTCTTCAAGATCTGGTCCTGATTCAGGTCCGCCTCGGGTCTGTCAGCTGAGATCCTCTCCAACTCCGCTGATCTGTGGATCTTGCTGTATTAAGCGATGCCTCCGTCGATCCAGCATTCATAGGCACTTCTTCCCTGTATTCTTCATTGACCTTGACATCTTCTTGGGACTCACGGTGAAATCCCGAGTCACCAGAAGATCCGGGAACGCGCACCATTGTGGTGAAGCGGGATCTGCGAAAATCGCGTTCACGCAGGTCTCGATACCACTGGCACCCGGACACGGACTAACGAAGGGGGTCCTCCGATGATCCGTGCTCTGGCTGGGTTCTTGCTCACCTTGTGTACCCGACGGCGGGCGGGTTACGCTCTCCTGAGTGACTCGTTCGATGTCGATCCGCAAAGATTCAGACGCAGGGGCTTGATATAGCGTGGCATTTCTTCGCTCGATCTCGTCTGGGTTATTCTCGGTCGCTGACGAGTCCTAGTGTCGTGATCGAGCTGCCTGGTTGTTGGTCCAGGTCTTGGGGGTCCAAATACGGAGATTTTGCTCCTTCCTTGTAGATGCTCAAAGGCCCCTGTATGACCACCATGTGACGAGTTGGGGACACTGTTCTCGCAAGTGAGTCGTATGC